CAAGCCTGCTATGAGGGTCAATGCCAAGACAAACTGATTTGTGACACTTTATGTCATCATCCAAAGAAAAGGTATCACCTAGACCCCGTTCACATCTAAGTTTAGTTCCTTATGCAGCCGCAACCTTTCCTGTCTTTGTTTAGCCTTGAATTCACGAGGCTGTAACTCTTGCCTTTCATCCGACCGTCGCACCTTCAATTGAGCAGAGGTCCCACAAGGACTAGTCTCGCTATGGTCAATAACTGTACCATTATTAGAGCCACGGCATGGAATAACATCAAGAGGGACTAGCTTGGTATCTGGGCATGGATCCATGGACATGTCACCTTCTCCGTTTAGGATAGATACAAGGGACTCCTTGCGCTTGCCGGGTACCGCAGTGACGGGTTGTTGAGTATTGTAGCGGCCGGAATCCAATAATCTTGTCCTGAACGCGGATAATAACTAGGCGGTGCCAACTGACGTGAACCTGACCAGTTCCAGCCTTCCACTGTATAGCCTCCTAACTTCCGCGAATGACGCACAGTCAAAGGTTGGATCAAAATATCAAAACACGGTTTGTAGTAATTCAGTAGTAGATTGGTAACAAAATCTCTGGTACTATCGAGGCAACAATAAGTTATATCAAAATTACAAAAGTACCTCAACAGTGCCGTTGGGTAACTACAGTCCAAACGTACTTCGGTGCAAATACGCACTATACCGTAAAAACTGGTCAAACAAATACAACTGTTAAATACCTGTCGGTCGATAAGAATATTCCCGACGAAAGGGGTCAAAACTCTGTCTACCGGAATCAAATCAACAAACAATACTTCCCAGTAGACAGTCAAAGTCGTGACTGCTTTGTTGATGCCGAAAGTACGCTAGCTTCTGCACCAGTGTCGACGAGGTAGAGAAATTTAGTTTTCATATCGGTGACGTAAAGGAAATGGCTGCTCCTGCCGGCTATAGTTGCCATGACTACGTGCCGGCGTTACAGATTCCCGATTTTATGTCCATGTTGAAACTGCATGGCTTTCGACATTTTCCGGTTTCGTCCCTGCAGGCATTGTGAAATCAGCACCATTCAGGGTTCCCCACCCTGTTAGGTTTAGTTTTCAGGTAGCCACGCCAGTTGCTGCGATGGGCTGAGACGCGTTTCTGTGATGTCCTACGTAACCTCTGCTTCGAGCTCGTACCAGCTGTCGAACAGAATCGCACAGCTCGGCCACTTCTGAATCCTAGCTCACAGGTTTATAGCTGACAGAGTATATTTTGTAAACAGGTCAGCTAGGGACCCCCAGAATTTTATCTGCTACGGCTGCCGGGTCATCGAGTGGAACTGATTGAAGTGTCACAAACACGGTTCGCACCGTCTGTGGCAGTTTCGAAAGGAACAGTCCTCGGAGAAGGTTATTCTCGAACGTTCGTGTGCCTGTGACTCCCAGCATGCGTGCGAGGACTTCAGCGGCCGAGTTGCCGCCTAGCTCGATATCACGAAGCAATTAGTCTAGGCGCCGGTACCTGTGAGATCACATTTCTTGAGTGATGCAGCTCTGAGAAGTGCATAGAGATCGTTTACTTCAAGGCTAAACATATGCGCTGCAACGTGCTTGTTTGACTCCTACAGTAGTAAACGAATGGCGGCAAGAAATCTAGAATGAGGATCTGCAACTCATGGTTCTCGAAAATCTGCCCCTGCCGGTACGGCGTGAGCTGGGTAGTGTTCGTCACCGGCTTACTACGAATAAGCTTCGGCATACGGTCGGGCACGGAAAGTTGTATTTGGACATCTAAAGATTATCAAAATGAAAACGACATACAGGTGTAAAATGGAACGGGCTCGACGATCGAGGATTTTTTCTGGTGCGAACTCGACAGGCGCAGAGGCCAGTCACTAATTTTTCGTGCCTGTTCTACACCCATGAATACGAGACTGAGGAAGAACACAGTAGCGTAGTCGGGTGGGACAGTATATTTGTGAGGTCGTGCCAAGACACCGACACATTCTGACTAGCTGGTCAGACGGCCGATTGTGAGCGGTTCAACGTAACACAACAGCGTGCCAAATGGCGTGGATGCTTGACCAGGTGCCTTCAGCTTGGCGAGCCCAGTCAGACCATGGAGGTCAGCATCAATGTCGATTCTCGTCGAAATCATGGTTATTGATTCTGGAGGTGTGCGGCGCTAGGGTTGCTTGTTGTTGTTGTTTGGGTGTCTTCATCAGCTCTATCTTCCTTACGTTCACCTGAAATCCTATCTTCCTTCGCTTCCCTACCCCTTCTGCCAAGTTATTGTTTTTCGCTTATAGGTCCTGAAGCTTGTGACACATTAGGAGGTACTGCCTGGAAGGCATCATTCATCATTTACTTATGTCCACGATTTCTCGCGGACTTCTCGGCTTAACTAGATCGAATTCAGCAGTTGGCGCGTGGACTAACACTTCGATACTGCAGGAAATTTAAGTTTGAAGCTGTGCTAGCTGATGGTTTCAAGTGGAATCCAATGTGGCAAAGGGATCAATCAGTACAGTACAGTTTAATGATCAAATAGAAATTGCGAGCATAACAGATGATAAGCGACACCCATTACGAAACAGTTGTCTCCCGCGACTCAACAACCAGCTGGCATGGGGAACGGTTTCCAGTAAAAAAGTGAGCACCGTCGCTCACTGAGATGCAGATGCTTTAAACCGTCGATTCCTGAATAGAACGAAACTCTCGTTTTTTCATTCATCCACCACAAAATAATTCGGGTCACGATAGAGGACGTGGCAAAATCAAGGGGTTCGCACAAGAGACCCACACATCAGCAGGGGTCAATAAGTTCCACCCTTCATGATAACAAATAGGAAAGTGCGGGCGCCAAACCACATATCTATTGTTTATTCATTTTGCCTTACCATTTATACAAACCTAGCATGCAAACGCGATCGGTCACATTGCAAAAGTATCAGAATAGTACTTGGTGTCTGGAAGTGAGTTAAAACAGGAGAGTGTCGTCTGGATAGTGGTTCAATCCGATGTTAGTTTCTCCATGGCTATGATCCTTATGGCTTTCTTTCAGACTACAGAAGTTTGATCCGAATAATCTCGGTCCCACCAAACGGCAAAATGCATTCCGAAAATGCGGGTAGATATTTACATACCTATCGCTATTTATTAAGAAAAACGGATTGCATATACGTCTGAATATAGATAAAAACTCACTAGCTGTACCCGATACTGGAAGGACGCCCTCGTCCTAGGAAGGGTTCACCGAATAGCCACGAAAACAGTGATTGGGCTGAGGTATAAATCTTGCCGAACTAACTTAATCACTTTTAATTGCAACCGGTACAAAACCGAAGGACTAGTGGGCAAATGGTCATAGTATATCGCATGACCCACAACCCTCATCATCTTAGCAAGTCACCCGCAAACTTTCATCAGAAACCCCAGATTGGAGGGCAATATTAAACAACAAAGCTTGAGAAAGACTTACAACGATCCGTGCCAACTCGTTTGCAGTTGGGGTGTGCAGACCATGGATCTCCCTTCTTGATGAAGTTGTGACGTGAAACTATGGAGAGAAAGCAAAAGTGGAGAAGACAGTGTCTTATTTAGAGGGAGACTAAACTCAACTCCAATCCACGCTGGCATTTAATCCTGAATAATGCAGTGTTACACGTAATACGTGTCATGCATATCGGCTCAATCGCTTGGGAGTTGGGTCTTCACTGATGGGGAAAAATTTGGTCATCTCATTCCCACTATGATTCAAAATCCCATTCCAAGTGTAGCAAAGACGAACCTCGTGGGAACTTGGCATTAGTAGCCCTTAGTGGAATTTCCGGATCGTAGATGCTTCCACCAAATTTTAGACAACTTCGTACGACCTCACCTGGAGTTTAGAACCATCGGTTTCCCCATTCCCTTCAGAAGGACAAGTTAAGCCTAAAAAGCATCTAGAGGCTTTCGACAAAGCCTGTTCGAGGACTTAGGTCCAAAACATATGAAGAACGACTGGTTGCACTGGTTCTGTATCCTCTGGAATATAAAGAGCTATCAGGAGACATCGCAGCAGCTCACAGCATTCTGATAGCTTTTGGCCACCCACTCCGTCACTCATTGGATCTTACCTATAGCATTAATCTTAGGGGACACGTACATAAACTGGGCCTGGGACATAACATGTCATATGTCTGGCATAGCTTCTATTCCCTAGGAGTTGTTAGGCCCTGAAATACCCTATCTGAGGACGTAAACCAGGCTCCTTCTTCTGAATCCTATTTTGGGATTTGTCCTGGTGCGAACTTGATAGACGCAAAGACCAATCACTAATTATTCGGACTTGTTATGTACCCACGAATACGGGACCAAGGAAGAACACGATAGCGTAGTCGGATGGAATAGTATATTTGGATGGTTATGCCAAAATACCGATGCGTTCCAACTAACTGGCTAGAGAGTCGAATACGAGCAGTGCAACGTAACGCGACAGCGTGCCAAATGGCGAGGATGCTTGACCGGGTGCCTTCAGCTTAGTGAGTCCAGTTAAACTATCAAGGTCAGCATCAATGTCGAAGGTTGTCAAACCCTAGGCTATTGATTTTGGGGAAGTGTGTGACGCTACACTCTAAGTGGCAATTGTCTACCTTTTTGGCATTTGGCTAGGATCTGACAAGAACTAATTGCATTTTCACATTTTAACCACCGTTTTTCCTCTCTCTTTGCTGAACGCGGAAGCCAGTTAGACGAAAACTTCTATTCCATCAACAACTTTTTGAACCATTTGGATATTGGACCTAAGGGTTGTTGGTGCGAAAAGGAAATTTTGAAAAAGCGGTACGTCTCTAAGTCTGTAGTTTTTGATTGATTTTGTAATGTCAGGCGTTTTTCATAAAGTGGTAACAAGGAAGAAGTAATTGCCCATTATGTAGTCGTGACATGCAGGCAATAACCGGTTACAGCTAGTTGGCTTCCTGCTGAGTTTTCAGAGACAACAACAACACGCTAAGAGCGTTTTTAATCTTTATAGTTGGTGATACCAGGGAGATTCATTCTCATTTTGAAGGTGGCAACCAGGGATGGAGACGAAATCGACAGTTTTCAGAAATGTTCATCCTTTTCGTAGTCTGAACTGTAGTTAATTGGCATGCTAGTGGGGATTATGAATAAGCATCACTGAATTTCGTGATCCGTTCTATTTTTTCTGCAGATCTACTTAGTCGGATAGTACGCAGTTGTCCGTCAAGTGACATACTGTTGATTTCTGCGTTACATTAGTCGACTGTTTCAAACGACTACTGGATGAGTATGTGAGCGCAAATGGCTTACCACGAACAATTGGTAGTAGTAACTGATGATATGCCCTAGCATTCTTGTATTTCCCAACCCTAATATATGCAGTAAGATGCATCTCTCCCCCATATTTGTGCTACTACCAGTAGCGCTTACATCTTCATTAGTACTTTTCACTCCTCTTTTTCTCATTCCCCAGTCACCCTATTTCTAGCGTTTTCAAAGTAACGCTTAACACTTACTTGCAGGTGTTTGCAAAAACAGGAATTGCAAACGGTTAGTTGACTTTATCGGCAGCTCCGTTGCCTCCCCCCTAAACAAACCAAACTACAATTTGCAAATAAAATACCCTCAAATAGACAATCACTGCCTCCAAAGCTATAAGCAGGAAAACGCGAAGACTTCTGCAACCATCAACAGAGTACAACTAAACAAAAAGAACCGAGCCTCAAGACCTAGAAGCGAGAGCTCAAAAACTGCAAGTTTCCTCTACTCGCACTATTCGTGTCGATGTTGTCAACCTTAGAAATAAATATTAACCATATACCTGGGAACTAATAGATCTCAGTGATGGAATCGACCTGAATTGAGTTCTACAGATTCATCATATTACTCAGATAGGGTTAATTGGGCTACCATACTTGTTCCTATCTTCGAAGGAGCACGCATTCATGAACCGAGAATTCATAGTTTCAGGTAGTGGGAAGCATGTTGTATGAATGAGAGTAATGTTCGGACGTTGACATTATGTGAAGTTAGCAGAGTTATTGTAAGAGATCAAAAAGTATCGTTGTAGACCTACTAACCTCTTATTCTTTGTTAACAGTACATTTTTAGTTTTATCTACTGCATGTGTGTAAACAGCCTTATTCAGTTAAACAGTATGACAGAATTTATTTGTCATAGCTTAATTTGCTCTTGGGGAGTATTTATAACGTGAGTGCAGTCAGCGTATTAATAACTTCGTCCCCATCTTATTCGATCACTGAAGTTAAGCAATGTTGGGGTAAGTAATTGCATGGATGGCCGACTGGGAATGTTGAGTGTTACCGGCTTTTGTAAAGCTGTGCCTTATTACTGTATGCACTTAGATGTTCACACAGGTTTAAACTTCGTCCCATCTAGGAAAGTGTAGGGAACCCGGTGGGTTCATTAACCCTCGCATAATAGGTATGGTTCATTGCTTGGTGTATGAACGTGCTCAAGGTTGTTTAATTGACTTTTGAGTTCATTGATTTTTTTCTCTTCAGTATATAACATCCGACTACGTTACTCTTTATCGTAACTCCTTTTTAGCCTACTGCTCGACCAGCATTCAATCAGTGCCCTGATTTTCCAAAGTATTGTTTCGTAGTAAAGTAGCATCTTACTGACTTGAACTTTGTTCTCAGGATAATAGGTTGATAAAGTTGTAGGGAGCCTAATGTTTCTGCTAACGAAAATAAATAAGTAGGGGAGTCAGAAGTGGCGAAAAATTTAACAAAATTAGTTCTCTGGTGTTTAAAGCTTTCAAGCTGTTCATATTATGAAAGTAGGTAACTTCTTGAGGTAATTGAAAAAGCATTTGGATTAGTTTTGTATCATTGCAGGACCAGATCGACATCTTGCGGTCGACTAGGGTCTTTTTAAGTTTATTGAAGTTTGTAGAGTTGCATTTGTACTTAGAGAAGCTTACCACTGGCTACGGGAAGCCGCCAGGCTAGGCTGGGTGCATATTTTCCAGAGCGACCTTTTCTGACCCCTTCTTGGGATTAGAAGACAGCACTAGGAGTGCTAACTGCTGGAGGGAGATGATTTATTGCCTTCACAATTCCACCCAGTCTATGGCACAACCTCCATCGGATTTCCGCCAAAAGTTAAGCTATTAACATATGATGATAGCTAATTTTAATCTTACCACTATCCGACAGCCTTTCATGGCATAGTAGGATCTCAAGTAACAGTTCTTCCAGTCGGCATATATCACCAAATCAAGGTAATGACTGTAGGTCGTAACATCTTACGTGTGTACCGCTTTTCATACTTCGTAAGCGACCCAAAGCTAGTTAGAGGATTTAGTGAGATATAGTAGGCGAAGGTATATAATGGTACTTTTGTGGCTAGATATGACATTCGGTAGAAAATTGAAGCACTTTATGTTGCTTGCAATTGGTTCGTACTTGAACCGTTGAAATGCTGCAGTAACATTTCCGAATTTGATTGACAATTTATAGCTTTGTCTTTCAATGGAGAATATGGTGACCAGACCAAGATGTGGCACCAGTCTATAAAGTCTGACTGTTGATCTGATTCATATGGGAGGATGTGAACTGTCTAGCTGGGGTCCCCGAGACGATAGGAATCAGTGGTTGAAAACTCTTGGTGAAAATCGGTCACAATGGCCCATATATATTCACTCCCTGACATCTAAAGCTTGAATATTTGTACTACCCTTTATCATCAGATTGTTTATTCTGTCACACAAGTTTGTATACTTTGATATCAGCCCTTTTCTATCTACTTGTTCTTTGTACACTAGTGTGAAATGTGGCAGTTTGATGTGAAGTAGTTGTGTGGGCGGCTCTGCGTTGATTTTGTACTTATTTGACTAACTATGAAGTGATACTGACTACTTATGATTGATTTTTATAACGCCTAGCAAATAATAGAGATGAGTGTACACGAAACTAATTTTAAGATTCAAGCCGTTGAATTCTTTAGTTGAATAATGATAAGAAGTGGTCTCACAACCGTAGATTCTACTGGATAACCTTATCTGTCGCAAAACACAATTGTACGCAACTGGGTAGCCGCGTTAAGCTTGGTAGTGTAGAAAGATATGTAACACAATGTGTAGCGGTAAATGATATAGCATTTTATTCAAAAAACCTTTGCGGTCAAAAATGAGTTGGGTTTTGGTGACTTGTACTCAATTCATCTTGGGTGTTTGGAATTAGTCGTCTGAAAACTATAATTCTAGGTGTGTTTACCTGTTAGCACTGATCAACTAGGTAAACCCATGAGATTTAGAGTCTTCTGGACACCTTGACTGGCAGTTTAAGAATGTTTGGAATGCGTTCCTCATCACCCAAGTGCAAATTGTTGCTTCAGGACTGGTTTTCAGTGGTACCCTGACTAACAATAGAGAGTAACGTGATTTAGCGCGTTGAAAACTTCACTTTCCAGGGAAGTCAGATCAGCCGTGGTAGCTCAGTGGTTCGGTGAGTCTTTTCCAACTCACACCATGTGTGGTGTCGCCCAGATATCTGATAATCTATTAAGGGTTGAATGTACTGTATTGTATCCCACTCTGTTCTGCTGTGTGGCTGTGAGACCGCCATTAAAGGTGGAAGACGTGAGAGGGCTTCAGGTTTTTGACCACCGTTGGCTTCGTAGCAAACGTAGTGTTTCATGGTGTCATCATGCGAGTAACGCAAAAGTCAGGTGTAAAATTTCAGGCAGAAGGGGTGGGTTGGTTGATACTGTTGTGAACTTTCATCTACTGAGATGGCTAGGACATGTGTTGCACATGCTTAGTCATCCTCTGCCTCGTCACACAATGTTGACCGAAGTAGGTTCAGTTTAAAAAATGGTTGGGGGTGGGGGGGCAGACTAAAACATTGCATCATTGCATGAAGTTGTTAACTGTTGATTTGAGCCATGTAGTGCGATACAAACTAACTGGTTGGGGTCCACAAGATAAGAGAAACCAGTGGTTGGGGACTCCGTGATAAGGTTCACAACCGATGTCAGCGGTGCAGATGTATACACACATTATTTTCATCTTAACCGCCATACTTAATCTCATCATTTTCTCGTCCTTCCTTTCTCTCTTCTACTACTCCTTACCCCTACTTCTTCTGGCCTATTTTTTTCCCTTCTTTATCTTCCATTTTATTACCTTGTTACTTTTGTGCTGATATAAGGTGAGCTGTGGCAACTTGGACCGTTACATAGTAATGCCTGGTCCTATGTTCATCTTGATGATGAAATCCACGATCCTGAAGAAACTGAATGTTTTGCCTCGTCATAGGTTAGACCCATCGTCATTCAGTTGTATAGTCAGAGACACTATCGTTGAACATCAAGCTTTATGCAAGATTGCATTGTGTTTATGAGTTGATTGGTTTGTAATTACGTCTGTAGTATCATAGTTGCATTACCCAACACACTTTATGTACCTAGCTATTTATCACTGTTTGTATTCTGTTCTCTTCCAGATTTCAAAACGATTGTTGGCGTATAATGGTTTGTTCACCTGGTTCTGAAAGATCTGTGAGCAGGAGTACAGCTCACACTCGTAGTACAAGCCGAAGTCGATCTAGAAGTGGTAGTATTCGACGAAGTTATTCCCATTCTAATCGTAGCCGATCAGCGACTAGATCATTTTCAAGACGTACTTCACATTCACGTCGAAGTAGCAGATCTAAAAGTCGTTCTAACTACTCTCGTTCCCACTCACATTCTAAAAGTCGACATTCTAGATCTTGGTCTAGATCACATTCTCATTCTCGTGGCAGATCAATATATTCATCTCGTTCACGATCCATTAGTCGTTCCAGATCACGATCTGCTTATCGTAATAGTCGGAGAAAATCATTTTTTAGAAGTAGGACAAGAAGTCGTTCTTATCATTCTGGTGTTCATTCACGTTCCCGATCACATACACCTAATTCAAGACCTGTTTCACCAAGTACTAAAGGTGGCAAAGACCCAAGAGACCGTTCAAAACGAGCACATTGGACAAATAATGTAAATTATCATCATTATTTTCTTTTCAAATTAATTTTATATTCACTTATTATTACCGATTGTAAGCAAAGCTTATATTCCCAGTGGTGAACGTTGTATTGTCTTCCCTAGAAGTTATTATTGCTAGTTTTTTCCCCTAAAATATGACTTTCATCATCTATCCAGATCAACCTAGGACGAGGTATTACTGCGTAACAGTCCGAGTTGCCACACCTCATATCACCACATCAAGTAAAAAGACGGTGAGGCGCAAGATGAAGATAAGAGAATGCAGTCAAAAGAAATATAAAGTACGCAAAGAGAGAAAGGAAGAATGAGAAAATGGTGAGATTCGATATAGCGTCGTTAAGGTGAGGATAATGTGTGTATACATCTGCGCCATTGACATTGATTCTCAGCCATGCCATCACCTAGAGTCAGTCTCCAACCACTAGTTCCTCTTGTCCCGCAGACCACAACCACCTAGTCTGCATCACCCCACATAGCTCAAACCAGTTGTCAGAGACTTCATACATTAGTGCCATGTTTTAGTCTGGCCACCTCAGGCCTTTTCCAGCCTGGACCTACTTTGGCCAACATTGTGTGAAGAGGCAATTGGCAACTAGACATATGTAGTACGTGTCCCAACCATCTCAAACGATGAAGGTTCTCAACCTCGTCAGCCCAGTCAGTGGGTGCTTAAGCAGAGATTACAAAGAGACAATGGTGAGTCTCTCTATTCCTTTTAGTTCTCACCGTGCCGTTCAGCCGCATAGCGCAGAGGCGACTATCAATTGGAATCCAGTCTAGTAGTGAGTTTTCTGCCCTAGTGCTTAATGCTATGCCTACATCTGCAAGACCGCGAGAGCTAGCTATCAGATCTCCAGAAACTCGTAGGGTGAATTCGCAGAATTCACCAGATTAGTCTGGAGAGTTCAGGTGAATAACCACACTTGGGTCCTGTATACGTGTCTCACAAACAGCACACATCCATGGCCCGAGTTGCTAGAGTCTTTACCAACGAAGCCTGCTGACCAATTTGACTGAGAGTGCGGACATTGAAGGCTCCAATATGTAATTTTGAGCTTGGTTTAAGGAGACCAGTGATGTTGTTTTCTGGACTCAGATCGTTATCAAAGGCTGCAGAACTAGGAGAAATTAAAGATGATGTAGTATTGTTAATTAGGAGACGTGAAGGAAGATTAGAAAGTAATGACGGGTGAGGTGTATCGCAGTCTGAGGAAACTTGAGTGCTGACAGAGTTGTGAGGGCGATTGATACTTCCTGGCTGCCCACACCGTGGAAGGCTATTTCTCCTTAAGGTACCTAAAAGAGGTTTGTGTGACCGCGGAGCCCGTTGGAAATCTGCTTGAGGCCTGTCACACACAGCCTTTTGTGTATGATTATTTTGAACTTTTGTATTTTTGGGGCCGGATGGTCGAAATGAAACGACAAGTGAACCAACACCGCCGGCCCGGCGTGGAGTGTTATTTTTGGGGCCGACCTATTCTAACCTCCCTTCCCATTGAGAAGACAGCATCATCATGGCACTACTGGTCATCTGAGGGAAACACATTTCTGCTGTCACACCTCATCCAGCTAACAGCAGTACGTCTTCGCCCTCAGACCCCCATCATAGTGTAGCAATTTACACCACAACGGTAACTGCTTTTCGTCTAACCACTATCGAACAGACATTTCAGGCATGGTAAGACCTCGAAGGAACAAGTGTTCCACCAGCACAGCCCGTTGGGTCATTGTGATATGCAAGCTCGACCACCACGTCAATGTAGCAGCTATCGGTTGGGAAATATGACTCAAAGTAATGTCATCTAAGTTGACATTAAATGTTTGCGAATAGAAACTGAAAGTCGGTTAGTCAATCAGAACATCCATTAGGTGCTAGTATAGTGAGAAAATGGAACACCCCGAACAACAAACATCAAATCTGGAAAACTACCAAGCAATTAAAACGAAATCTATCTTACAAACTGATGAACTTTACATCTGCAAAGTTGTCTTTAGACAAATAAGAACTGTGGGTTAATTTCAAAATGTTATCCAGTAATTAATACTGTATCTGTTGACAGACTGAACATGAGAAAACAAAACAATCTCACAGGTACTTAGATTATCAGTCTGAACATCCTGTAACTACTAAAGTTACAGTTTAACGGAATCTAATCAACAGAGCTAATTGTTTTGTTACAACAAAATAGGATAGAGAGTAGAAGAGTTAAATTCAGTTTGTCGCACGCTGAAGGCAAACAAATATCCCAAAGATTTCGTAAAAACAATTTTAAGAAATGAAGTTAAGGATATGCCGAAACTCCCTCCAAATAACTAGATAAACATGATCATAATCCTATATCATAAGGAGACCTCAGAAGAAGTTAGAAGAACTCTTAACAAATATGTCATAAAAGCTAGCCTTTGGGTAACAAATACCCGACGCTCTAATTTAATGAAAGATAAGAATGTAGTAACTAAAATCGACATTACTGCATTACGCAGTGGAGACAGCCAGCCAGAGAAATTTGAGAGTAAAGAAGCATGGACTATGCTGAAAGCAGATTCCGAAAACCTCATAAGATGTTAGAAAGCTAGAAAATAAATCGGTGATCGCGTTACACTACATAGAAATGGGTCAAAAAATTGACTTTGTTGGCATCAAGATTCTACAAAATGGTTTGGAGTCATACCAAGAAAGATTGACAACCGAATCCAGATCGTGACGCAAACTGTCGTTAAAAGTCGTTTACTGTGCACAAATTATCCCACCTATTCTTGAGACAGATTGTTATTCTCTTTCGATACTGATCGAACAGTAGTGCTGGGTTGGATCCCTACACCCAAAATGTATCATATTACTTGATTGCTGAAATCGAAGTAAATATAGATGATTTAAACTCATGGCGTATTATTTGATAATTAGTCTACCGATCTACAAGTCTCCTGTTGTAACTGTTCAACGAAAGTTGCACAACTGGTGTACACTGGTAGAAAGTGTCATTTGATGGAGAGAAACACAGTAAGTAACCTTGTGCATATCCATGCAGTAAACAACAAGATACCCTTATCATGTGATGGCTAGTGATACAGGACTGGTCTTCGGCAGTGCCGCGGCTAACAATAGAGAGTGAAGTGGTTGACCACTTCACTTACCTGGGAGGTGAGATCAGTCATGGTGGCTCAGTGGCCGATGAAATCTCTGCACGAATACGAAAGGCTCTATTGGCTTTCGTCAATTTACGCCACCTATGGCACCGCCGTGATGTCTGTTTGTCTACTAAGGGTCATGTGTACTGCACAGCAGTCTTCTCTGTTCTACTGTATAGCTGTGAAACATTGCCATTGAAAGTGGAAGATATAGGAAGGTTTCAGATGTTTGACCACCGTTGCCTTCGTAGTATAGGACGTATTCCGTCGTGTCACTACGTGAATAATGCAGAAGTTAGGTGTAGAGTTGTTGGGAGGATAGGTAAATCAGTAGACGAGGTTGTGAACCTTCATTGACTGAGATGGTTGGGACACGTACTACATATGTCTAGTTGCCAATTGCCTCTTCACACAATGTTGGCCAAAGTAGGTCCAGGCTGGAAAAAGGCCTGAGGTGGCCAGACTAAAACATGGCACTAATGTATGAAGTCTCTGACAACTGGTTTGAGCTATGTGGGGTGATGCAGACTAGGTGGTTGTGGTCTGCGGGACAAGAGGAACTAGTGGTTGGAGACTGACTCTAGGTGATGGCATGGCTGAGAATCAATGTCAATGGCGCAGATGTATACACACATTATCCTCACCTTAACGACGCTATATCGAATCTCACCATTTTCTCATTCTTCCTTTCTCTCTTTGCGTACTTTATATTTCTTTTGACTGCATTCTCTTATCTTCATCTTGCGCCTCACCGTCTTTTTACTTGATGTGGTGATATGAGGTGTGGCAACTCGGACTGTTACACAGTAATGCCTGCTCCTATGTTGATATTGATTGATTGAATAATGATATAAACTAGTTGTCCAAACATGCATCTATAGAGCGGGACTGAAACTGGTAACCCATCTGTAGGAAACCAAGTGTCTAGATCAGTAAGGCACAGCTTACTTATCAACTGTACCATGGGTTGAATCCCTGAACCACATGTATATTATGATGTTTCAATTCAGCATAAAACATTTCTGAAGCAATTAAAAAGCTGTATAACATGAAGGTGGTATCTTATACTTCATTTCTTCACAACGATGCCTTATTTATTTCTTATCTTTCAGGTTTGGTTAGTCGGTGAAAAAGCCAAAGATACAGTTTTCCATTTTTGTGATACTTGTGATTTACCAATTGTGATCTATGGACGTTTGGTAGGTGTGCCTAAATTATTCACTTTAATCCTCCGTTAATCTAGCTTCCATGTAAACATGTGTTGTGTTATACATGCGCTGTGAATCTAGTGAATAATAAATGTAATCGGTAAGTGTAGAAAGACTCTGTTTCTTCTTCTTCTTCTTGTTGTTGTTGCGTATACTCTGTTATTCTTGTTGAAGTGTAAACAGTTCATATGAAGATGAAGTTTTTCTTCACCTTACTAAACGTTGTCTGTTGTTCAGTTGATGATAAAGTTTAATGTCTTACAGAAGTGTATTACACTTCAGTGATTTTATCGTTCTCCAGGTTTATTTTTTTCTAGGTCGAGCTTCTGCCATCTGTCTGCGCGTTATATTCATTCCTGCTCTAGGTGTAACAGTTAAGATGAGGATAAAGTGCGGATTATTATTCTTATTATTATTAGAACAAAAGCATGATATAACAAGAAATGTGCCACACAAAATAGTATAACAACATTGTGAAGACTTAATTGATGAAAAGTGGATTAGAAAGGCAGTCCAGTAAGTTACATTCAAACATAAAACTTTTGAGCAGCAGAAGATAGGAGAAAGCTACAGCATGACCACCACTGGTTTCTCTCCCGAACTATATCTGTTAACGTCTCAAGCCATTGAGTTGCGTGTACTCTCGGATTCCAACCAGGAGTCGTGATGCTAACCCGATACAATTATATTTCATCCCACTTCACCACGCCATACACTGACCACCCCTTCACTTCTTCCATCCAGTCCATGTGCTAGCAAACAATGAATGGTCAGGAAACATGCGTGACACATATCTAAGCCACCGAAACCGGTGTTTCCAAATGACTTCATTTATTGACTGATGATCTCTATCAAGCATAAACACATACTGTCGTACCTCGTAATTACTCACATGGTGTTGCTACTGGATACGGGCAATCCTAAGAAGATAACAATGATCGAACACATGCAGTCTTCGCACATCCTCAGCTCGGAGAGGCCAGCTTTCACAGGCGTAGAGCAGAAATGCTCACACAGAAGCGTTGTAAACCCGATCTTATACAGTCAAACTAACGTCACGATGGCGCCAAAGGAGGCCCAGAATGACGTATACCACTCTGGTTTTCGATATGCAGTTGGAAATGTCATCACTCACACTTCTACCAGCACTCATAAAACTACCCAGACACATGAAATTTTCGACTACTTCCAACTGCTTACCACCAAGGGTGAGCGAAGACACAGGCTCCTGCCAATCATGCAAAATTACTTTACACTTCTATGGTGCAAAACAAATACCATACTTACGGACACACTTGGTTACATCTGCATAACTGACTTCGATTCTGAGCCATATCAACCAGAAACTGTAACCATCGGCCTGCACTTTCCTACATAGCTCAAACTAACAGTCATGAACTTCATGTCATGATGCCATTTCTTAGTCTATACGACCCAAGCCTTTTTCCAGTCTGAACCTACTTCTGTTACCATTGGGTGGTGAAGCAAACGGTGACTAGAGGTGTGTAACATGTGTTCCAGCCATTTCAGTCGACTGATGATTCACGACCGCACCAACTGTCTTACATTCCTCCCTGAAACTCTGCCTGACTTCTGCGTTATTCACATGGTGGCACCTATACTACGAAGCCAACTGTAGGCAAACACTTGGAACCTCCTCATGTCCTCTACCTTTATTGGTAAAGATTCATATTCACTGAGTACAACAGAGCGAACTGCACAGCAGTAAATTCTGCCCGTAATGAGTAATCGGACATCATAGCGGCACCATAAATGGCGTGAGTTGGTAAAAGCCAACCGAGCCTTTCGTATTCGTGCAGAGATTTCATCGGCCACTGAGCCACCATGACTGATCTCACCTCCAAGGTAAGTGAAGTGGTCAACGCATTCAACCACTACACTCTCTATTGTTAGCCGCGGTGGTGCACCGTTGAAGACCAATCAAAGGGCAACAATTTGCATTTGGGTAGTGAGAAACACATCCCAAACATTCTCAAATTGCCACTCAAAGTGTTCAACAGACTCTGAATCTTGTAAGCTTTCTCACCTAACAGGACCATGTCATGTTATCTGCGTATTCTAGGTCTAACGAAAATTCTCCTGTGATTAGGTCAACGTCTGTGTAATCAGGTGACGAGAGGAGACCTCCATAAAGATATCCATGGTACAGTTGAATAAGAATGGAGACAGTGGGTATCCTTGACGGACACTGCTCGACCAGTACCGCTCCCCGGACATCTCACCATAGGCTCCAACACGCTCACAAGTGTTCGAGTAGAGAACCTTCAACGGGGTGATGTACTTACTCGATATCCCTTTCAGACCTCTCGACCGACCATTTCGAATGCCGCCTTCAGGTTGAGAAATGCACTCAATGTCCAGGATCGGTAAGTGTGCATGGGTTATAGAAGCTAGTGCAGGGTGAATATTTTGTTGATACACCCACAGTCAGATTGGAAGCCCGACTAATTTTCTCAGGTTTGCTGTTCGCAAGTTATACTCAAATGTCCAATGATTATGGAACCTAGAATTTTAGACAGTATAGTAAAGATGGATAGTGGTTAGCAGTGGAATCCAGGATGCACACTTCGTGTTATTTGGAACTCGTCAGCTAGATGTACCTGCCTCCCAGTGAGTGATGTCGTTCCCACCGGGATTCTGACTCGGGAGCGATCGCTTCAGACGCCAGAGCGTTATCCACTACACTACCGAGCCACAATAGCCATTTCTTGTGCGACGGGTATAGTTTCAGTGTTATTACATCCAGCTGACGAGTCCCAAATAGGACGAAACGCGCATCCTGGATTCCACTGCTAGCCACTATCCATCTTTAACTAGAACACACATATATCGGGGCATCCACACAGGAGATCGTATGCCAACAGAAACCGATCAACTCGGTCCAGTCAACGACGGTATAAAACAAGCAGTAACACTTAGACACTATATTTTCCAGGGTGATTACTCTGTGGTTATCACAGGAGGGCTTGTCGCCTTTCTTGAAGATTGACCAGTCAGTGATCGAGACCAGCCAGAGGGGATCATATCTGACTGCCATACAGATCACTTAACCTGGCCAACAAACCTTGAGCACCTTCCTTAAATACCTCCGGAAATGCTTCATCTGCCGTTGCTGCTCTTTCTCGTTTCAGGTTACCCGCAGCTTTCTCGACCTCTGCAAGTGTTGCGCGTCCTATCTCGATATTTCATTCGGGCTCCGACTAGATATCGAGCAACTGAATAGTAGCTGGAGGCCAGCTGAACTCTTTCTGGAAGTATTCCGCCTATCATTCCATTCGCCTCTTATGCGAGTGATCCACAGATCCCATCCTTCTCCTCAGTAGTCTCAGTAATCTTTGACCTCTTCTCCAGTTTCTCTTATAAGTCTAAACAGCTGTTTACTGTTGTCTTGAGATTTCTGCACGGATACAAAAGGCTCGATTGGCTTTTGCCAATTTGCGCCACCTATGGCGCCGCCGTGATATTCGTTTGTCTATTAAGGGTCGCGTGTACTGCACAGCAGTCCGCTCTGTTCTACTGTATGGCTGTGAAACATGGCCATTGAAAGTGGAAGACATGAGAAGGTTACAGGTATTTGACCACCGTTGCCTTCGTAGTATAGGCCGTATTCCGTGGTGTCACCATGTGAGTAATGCAGAAGTTAGGTGTAGAGTTTTAGGGAGAAGAGGTAAGTCAGTCGACGAGGTTGTGAACCTTCATCGACTGAGATGGTTGGGACACGTACTACGTATGCCTAGTCACCGATTGCCTCGTCACACAATGTTGGCTGAGGTGGGTTCAGGCTGGAAAAAGGCCCGAGGTGGCCAGACTAAAACATGGCACCAATGTATGAAGTCTCTGATTGTTGGTCTAAGCCATGTAGGACGATGCAGACTAGGTGGTTGGGGTCCACGGGACAAGAGGAACCAGTGGTTGGAGACCCTAGGTGATATGGCTCAGAACCGAAGTCAGTGGCGCAGATGTATACACACATTATCCTCATCTTAACAACGCTATACCGAATCTCACTATTTTGTCACTCCTCTTTCCTTTCTTCTCGTACTTTATATTTCTTTTGACTGCATTCACTTATCTTCATCCTTCACCTCACTACCTTTTACTTGATGTGCTGATATGAGGTGTGGCAACTCGGACCGTTACGCAGTAATGCCTGGTCCTATGTTGATAATGATGATGATGATGATTACTGTTGTCTGTCGCTGCTGCCTTTCCCATCTCTTTAGCCTTCGCCGCCCACTACTGTTCTTGGTTAACGTTTTGTTAGTCTACGTTTGATTTGCATTCGCTCCTCATTATGCTCGGAGTATATAGGTATGCATTCGTGTACATCTATGAATTCTGAGGAAGCTTCTGAAATCCACTTGTTCTCTCTAACCACTTTCTGATAGTCGGTTACTCTCTTCATCTCTGTTTTTACAGCAGAATGAAGATATCGGCGGGCCTCTCTCATGAGGATCCTGTTGTTCTGTTTTGATAACTGTCCAGCCAGCTTCTCACTGAAAGTGGCATTGATGCTCTCACTATCTAGCTGCAGTTGCAGTGCTCTTGTTGCTAGAGTTTTCTTATGTTCATTTAGACGGAGACACACACGGACCAAATCGTGGTCACTGTACAAATACGTGCCCCAGAAGGAGCGGGAGTCTGTCACCAACCCTTTACATCAATGACTGATAGCTGCTAAGTTGAGCTCTGTGGATTCCATATCAGATAATGTTTCTCTATGCCTGATGTTCGCGCTGGCTAGAAGTAAATGGTTATCTGAGCACAGTTGTAGTGAGCGATCTCCGTTACCTATTCATTCGACTCTTCGGGATTACGAAAGTGTTACCTAAGTGTCTTTCTGTCTGACTTAGCTTACCCACTTGTGCATTGAAATCACCTACATCAACAACCATGTCTTAACATTTGGCTTTTAGTAGGAGACTGGGTAGTTTCCGCGACTTTGACCGGCGACACTAGTTGATAGTCACCTCTCTAAACCACTGAGCCACAGCTTCAGGTATACATACACGTGCAAGAACTGGCCATTGAATCTCCAGAATAACTACATATGGGTTCTGTATGCATGTCTAGCAAGCA